TTGAAATGCAGACTTGAAATGCAGACTTGAAATGCAATCATAAACTGAGGTTAAAATAATAATCTCACAAATTTAATTTGAAGTATTCATTTACCCATGATCACCGCCAAACTCGACAAAGATAGGCCGAACTGATTCTGCAGATCTTCACGGATTCTCCGCAAAGTCGAGCCGAGAGATTATTCAGACAATTGACCGACAACTTCGTCTCCTTGCAGTGTTCGAGGCACTGTCGGTATAAAGTACCGATTCAAAGTATTTGAACTTCACACGTACATCATAACCACCTCCTTCTCCGCGACGAAGACACCGTTATCTATTCGCATTACGTTCTGCTATCTCCTTCCACCATTATAGTCACACAGCCGTCGGAGTAATCGCCGGCGCGTCAACATTTGCGAAACGTGGAGCATCGACGTGCTGTGTGCAAAGGCCCGTTGTTCAGAATTGAAACGTCGCTTGTCGCTTTCTATAGGTGTGGATGTCGCAGATCATGGATAGCTGGATGCACATGCGCTGATTATGACCACGGTTAAGGTTGGCAGGTTTTCGCAATACCAGTCCGCCAATTTTGAACGCCCAAGGCATCGCCATGAATGATTTTCTTTTAGAATCTTCCCAGATTGCACAGAATATATATATATATTATATATATTTATGATAAATATTTATTATTATTCATTTCTTTAAATGTTATATAAATATTTTATACATATTTTTTATATAAAGCTTTATTCGAAATATTAAAATATTAAGTATTTCCCTAGTATTTACTACAAAGATTTACAATAAATATTCCATAATGTTTATAATAAATGTTTATGATTTATATGAAATGTAAAACCACAAAAATATTTACAAAATATTTAAAATAAGCTTTATAAATATTTATAAATATTTTGTAAATGTTTTATAAATACTGTGTGCTGTCTGGTTTAGTACAGTACTAATTCAAACGTATTTTACCAGACAATATGACATGAGGTCCACCCGCTTTGGGCGCTCACGCTGTAAATTTCATTCTATATC